TTAAGCAGCCTCTGGAAGATATGTATTGTATGTGTTGTTACCTTTCAGGAACATTCACTTATTTCACCAGCCTCCTCCATAGTCCCATTCGCCAAGTATTTGATATTTTCGAGTTTTGAGACTTGGGTTCGAAGGTTGGTGTGGTGAATGCTACAACAAATAGATTGTCTCATGATAGTTGAATTGTTAATTTAATTTAATTTTTTCTTTCTTTTGTATATAAAAATTGATGCTCAAACCCTAGCTTGACATGGATGCACGAGTTCTTTCTAACTTTCAATTTTTATTAGCAGAATAAAGATAATAAATTATTCATATGACATTTAATTTACTCGTTCACATATAATATTTTCTAACATGTCAATTGGGTTAATCCTTTTGTTTTGTTTTGCTTGAGTTTGAGCTTTTCTTTACTTAAAATTAGAGAACTAGGATTATTTTAAAAGTTCATAATTGGTAAGAATTTAAAAGTGTAAAAGTAAGGGTCTTCCGAAGGTAAAAATTTGAAACAGGCGGGGTGGAATTTAAGAGAGTAGAAGAGATCCGGCTGTGTGGACTCTAGGTATCTCCCAGATTTACTGAAAAACGCAAGCGCAGGGCTTAATTGATGACAACAAATTATTAAGGACCAAATTGTAAGGTTGAGGGCAATTGGAAGTAAACTTTCTAGCATTCTCAGATGTATAAACTACAATAAATAGCATCGGTAAACAGTAAGCACTTGCCGGCGTTTTAACATATGGAAACAACGACGGAGAAAGAAATCGGAGAAATCCAAGAGTCAACACCAGATCCAACCGTCGGTGCAGTTGATGTTCCGGCTCCGAAGCAGACCCCGAGCAGCTTGACTGCGAAGGTACCCGAAGTAGAGACCCACCTCTATCGCCGCGGCAAAGGTCCCATTGCCATCTTCAAGTCGAACTTGGGAGGATGGGAACAGGACCAGCTCGAGGTCCGTGACATCCTCGACAAGTACGGGTTCAAGTCTGTGTACGCTTTCAATCCCGGATCGGGTCGGGGAGTTCCTATCCGGTTCCATCCCAGGAACGGAAGGTCAATCCTTGGATACAAGGATGGAACTGTGGTTTACATAGATGGAGAACCAACGGTGATTTCTTTATTTTTTTAATTATTTGTTAAATTTTCTTGAGTCTATCAATACAAATATCTCATTGAGTTTTTCTTTGTTTAATTTTGATTAGTCTGTTCTTCACTTAAGCTGAAGGAAGTTTGAGGTATTGAGAATGTACAGCTTGACATGTGTTCTTTTAGTTGATGCAAAGGGAATGTTAATTATTCATGTAAAACAACTTGTATTTTCTGAAAATAAAAAAACATTGTAGGACTCATTTGATTAACTTTGTGAAGATCTATGATTCCCTATAAATTCCAATTTGTTGATTCTTCTTTGTGCTGATGCCTTGACTATCTCAGCTTATATGAGTTTTGATCTTTTTTTGATCTAATTGTAGGATTCCCTGATGAAGCCTGTGACCAAGATATTGATTGGTGTGGCAGTGATAACCATTCTTATAACATTGATAGTTAGAGATACACCTGAATGGCTCAAGAAATTAAATATCTTTGGTGGGGACTTCCCTCCATGGGTCCTTGCTTGCATGGTTATTGTTTTTGCTCGCATGAGGAAGAGAACCAAGGACTTCTTGAATAAGCTTGGCTGGTAAAAGGGTGCTGTGGATACCTTTTTTGTAGTGTTGGTAAGTTTTTGACCATCCTTGACAAGTTTTAATCAGTTTATTAGTCTACAGCCTATTTTGTGTCTGATGCTAATAGATGTTTAAAATCAAGGTCCCTGTTAAATCTTTGTTGCCTTAAGATGTAACCGACACCTTACTAAGGGGAAGTGGGTTATATAAATTTAAGGATCCATCAAAGCAAGATGTCGGGTGTTGAGTTGTGATCTTCATTCAATCATAGACACGTACTTAATTCTAAAGTTTAGCATGGCAGCATTTCAAAATTGTTATCAAGAACTTTAATGAACTTGGGTCTACTACTCTGTTGAAAGCTGCTCTTTTAGATTCATATCATTGTACAAATGAAAAGAACTTTAAGCTATCTTGTCTGAACCTGTGAAATATCTGCTATTTTTGAACAAGAATGATAAATAACTTTTCTTAAAGTACTTTTTTCTTTTTGGTGCACAAGGAAGTTAGTGTCTTTAGCTGTTGCAAAGATTAGGAAGTTGGTGTCTTTAGCTGTTGAAAGATTTGGACCCAAGAATTAAAGTTTTGAAGCTAATAGATGTTGACTCAGCTGAGCTCTTGTTTTTTTTTCTTAGGGTACTTGAATAGCTTATGTGATCACCAGTGGCTGGTCAATTAGATTATGTTCTGGTTTTCATCAGTCCTGTTAAATACATTGTGCAGGAATGGCTTGAATCTAGGAGGCAAGTGATCTGGAGGTTTGCAAACACT